GTCGTGTTTTCCTTGACAACGATAGTTTTATTACGGGATTTTATTATCACAAATATTGTCAGAGTCAAGATGCGACACAGTCTTCCTGATTTACCGACATGTTTACGTGAATCTCTACAGCTCCATTTCAGAGTATATTTTTGATCGTGTGTTATGTTAATGACGAACGGAAAAAAACAAAAAAAAAACAACAATACTGAGTTAGTTGCTTTCAGAATCTCTGATTTGACAAACAGCGAAAGGTGAAAGCCAATCCCGACGGTTTAACGCCTTTTAAAAATCCACATATTTTCCTTTGTGTAACACAAAGTGATGTAATTAATTCGGGAGGTGTGTATTTATATCAGCAACCCTTTGACCCGTACTGCCCGCAACCCTCATCTAATACTTGCCATGGGAATATGAGCGGAGTTATGGCTGTTTTATTGCTTACTTCCCCAGCCCGGCCCGGTAATGCTCGCTATAGTAATGTTACATCTGATCTTTTTTAATTCAGCCAAGATATATTATGACGTATAATATTATGTTCCCTGGAGCACGATCACACATGGAACGTATATACTCGTACTTATACAGTTACGGTTACCATTATTAATGTAGTAGAGAGATATGTTTAAAATGTATTTACAACCTTTGTTAATTGTATACAGAATAATTACTTTTGTTTATGAAATTTACTTTATAACGTTTTTAGTAATGAACCGAAATAAAAAATAAAAATTTGCAAACGATCTAAAATTATGTTCGATAAGAGGAAGAATTTAATAGTTTGAAATAAACTATTATACATGATTTATCTAAACCTTACGTATTTAATAACTTAACCATTTATACCCTAAGATAAAATGATATTTACAAGACGGAATATTTTTTTATATACGATAATAAAATGCACCTTAAAATAAAGAAATGAACATTTAGAGCAGGTTTTAATTCTTCTCACTTTAGGCAATTATCCTCAGCGAGTTCTAAATTTACATCTAAAAGAAATCTACAGCTAGTAATAAATTACAAAAAGGTACAATTTCGCCAATGGAATTGGGAACTTTGCGACGATTTCGCGTATTATATATTTCCGCTTTCGGCGACTTTGTACCGAACCTCCGTTGGCAAAACGAGATACTTACAGTAATTTTATTACACTCCGAATCGTGTTTTCAACTTTTCAAATAAAATATGTATCGTTTCAATGGAAGTTTTAGTTTTTGAAGCATTCTATTCATTATTATTGACGATTTACAATTCATCATAACGACAGGAGATGTAAATACATGTTATATAAAGAGTGTTGTTAAAATTTATCAACATAATATTTGATACTCGGTAATAATAATATTTTTCAAATGTTGTCTCGTTTCAGAGAGGAGTGTAATCTACCCTCTTTTCGACTGTTGTTCTGCAGCTTAATTAACGAACCATCCCTAGTACCGAAAGGTAGGCCTTATCTCGGCCGTCAGACACCAATGAAATCCGCGACAGAGAATTGTGGATATAAAATCTCTTTATTCTGATTCTCTCAGATGTTTTAGAGCTGTCTCGAAATATATCTTTGAGTTAATTGTAACGCAAAATCCTCAATATCCATTTAAACAGCTTTCTGTATATTATTATACATCTTTACATTTATACAGACTCATAGTGTTAAGGTAATTACGACTAAAGTAACTTACTTTTAATCACCTAACGATAAGAACGGTACATTAAAAAGGTCTGGTGTGACAACAAATCTAAAGGAAAAATCTCCGCCTCTGAGAGCCCAACGGTGATAAACGAGAAAAACTTTGGAACTAAATGGAGCATTCGAGGCGGCGGAGCTACACAGCTCTTGTAGAATAATACTTTTGCCGAAGAAATAACACTTATAGTCTCCGAGGCTTAAAATCAAATGTCTCCGTTTCGATTCCGAGTTTCCAGCGAATTGTTCCACGGATCTTGAAGGATGACGACAGAAATAAATGCCACTTTTTGAGCATTCATAACGTAAAAGAAAATTGTTAAAACTTTTTTAACATATGAGTACTTCGAAAGTTTTATATAAATTAATCTAACAAGATCCTTTTTGCTACTGACTTTGAGAATTAGCTTCAACGTAAAGTAAATACCTCCACATTTTGAAATGTACATAAAATACTCGAAAGCCATATTCAATAGGAGTTCACGCGTCGCGGCAACACAAAACAGTGAAATCACGAATCTCGTGAGACTCTGCAATGTCTACTCGGATGTATGTTGTGGAAAAAATAGGAACATTTACATTTATTACAAATAATTGGTGGAAACTTTTATGCAGTTTCGTATTTCAGTTCTTTGGAAGTTTTGAACTCGTTTGAGACAGTCGTTTTGAGTTTGACTTTGAATAATTAAAATATACACGGAGGCACGTTCCGCACGCTGCATGTACATATAAGACCACATTTACATATGTACTACAGATAGATACAACATGAGTACTTTGTCATCGCAATTGCTTTAACATAGTGCATTATGTTAATCTGTTATGATGTAAAGGAAGTAGAGACAATATTAAAGTTTACAAGTGGCTGCTAGGCGATAGTATCGTATAGAAGTGGCGTCGATCGGCACGCGCGGAGTCGAGTGCGGAGCCTGTGTCAGCGAGCACAGAGCACACGACGCACACACATCGTCAATAACTTGATTGACAAGTTAACCGACCGCTCCCGGCTTGCGATATGACACAATGATGTCATACTATTCATACGTCATCTTATGCTGAACAGAGACTTTGCTTTAACAGTCACACAAATTGAAGTCATCAGCAATAATATATTTAATAATCAATTCGTTGTTTCCTCTACATTATTACATCAATGAAACGTACGTCTCATCAGGAGATGATTTTTGAAACTTAAGATCCATTTTCTGATAGATAAGTTCAGAGTTATAACTCTCTGGACAAACATACGTAGCTTTATTAATCTCGTGATAACAAATTTCAGTTAGTGGGCAATATCATAATGGAACAAAGTTGCTTCGTATATAGCTCGTAGGGAACGCTTTGAATCCACGCTGCGCTGCTAACCGCTACTTTTTCTATTACACAAGCATATTGCCTCCGTCTGTAAATATAGCATCAATTTGTTTTTCGCTCACAACTACCCGATATCGCTAGATCACTCCGGTATCTCATTATTTTCTATACCAAATGCTTCTTTTAATGTACATTTATTGTATGACGGTTATAAATCTAACTTTGCGTGCAAAATCGTGAAGTAATAACAAAAGTAAATTTAATGATAAAACGTTTTTTATTAAACAAATTATTTTTTCATACTCAAACATTACTATTTTTTTATGTTAAATCAAATGAAAACACTTTCCATTTAAAATTGTATGTGGAGATTTAATTTCTCAAAGAATCGTCTTAATTAGTCAAGTTACTTTTAAATTCCTTTACACATACGTACGTACAACTCAAATTCGTACATACAACTTAAATTAAAGTTTCTACAAGGAAGAATTGTCAAAAGAAAACGGAAGTTACGTAAGAGCGACAGTTTTGATTACTTAATGAAAAGATTAATTAATTTTAGGAACTTGTAACTGCTGCGAGCTCGCACTGTGTTTGAATCAAAATTAAAGGAGTACAGCGGAATAGACAAAAATGTAAATGTATGCATTCTTTTTCATAGTATGAAAAAATATAGTTTTTTTACAACTTTTCAATGCTGTTTATTTAAACAATTCTATCAGATAAATTCCTTAGAAAAGTTCATTAGACAGAAACAGTCAAAGTTACATAAACAAGATTGGTTGACTACATAAAACAAAATCCCCATTTCTTATTAAATAATTTAAATTTTAAATTGGGAGTAACGAAAGTGGAAACTCAATTTAGTTAGTTCTTTTTTGAGTCTCGTCCCAAAAGACATGAATCACGGTGGGGTGGGTGACTTAGCAGAAAGTAAAACAGAGAAATGTTCTAGAGACCCTAGAAGTGATTTCATTTGGAAAAAACTTTCCCTCTATCAACTAAATTCAGAGTGTAATTTCTGAGCCGGGAAAAGTTCCACCTTATCATAGTATTCCACGTGGAGTGTTTCCTTCAAATTTCTAATTTCATTCAGTGAATACTCCACTTTTTTTTTCGGTATTTACTGACTTGCAGATACTGTTAACTTTGCTTGTACATCGTTAAATTTCAGAGGCTTCTGTTCTACTTTAGTGTGCACGCGAACCTTGCCTTATCGAGGATTATATGTATAGTGTAACTGGCACTTATAAATATTTATTAACCGACTGTAAGTGATAAATATTTTAAACTATTATTATTACCATCTTTATTTAACATTCAATAAATGTATCTATAGTTTTTACGTTCTGTAAAGTCCTAAAGAAATATGTGTAACGATTTTATTAAAATATATATTTAAAACTATAATATTCAATAAATGACATTTGAAGCAAGTTATCGGTGTTACAGCGGAGTGCAGATGTCGGCGGCACGTCCTGTAACGATTGAAACGAACCGAGTCGGAGCTGTGACGTAGCGCCCATAGCGTTCGTAGCACCCGTAGCGCTCGTAACAGCCGTAGCGATCGTAGCGCGCCGCCTGCTCTCGTAGCGCACTCGTAATTGGAAAGGCTACGTGGCTACGATTGCAAAGCGCCCTATCATTAGCGTCACTCACAATTTTGCTAGTGTTAATGAATCACACCTCAGAAAATCACTGAGTTTACATTTTTGAATAGCTTTGTAATATTTTAATGAAGTGAATTATGTTAACGATTCATACATATTGGATGTGTATATAATTTATATCCCTGTTCTCTATTCACATTACACTGATTGTTCTTATTAATTGAAAGTTTATTGAGTAATTCCAATTAAATTTGAAATAAGCATGATTCACGTGATTTTTTAAATAAAAATTATTTTCAATATAACGTTGGTAATTGACGTAGACTTTTGATACGAAAATATATTATTAAAGAATAAAGAAGTATATAATATATTTCGTGCGAGTGGAGAACAGAGAAGCTTTAAGCATTTCGCGTAATTAAACGTTCGGGATGGCAGCAGTTTATGTGACGATTAGTGAGCGGAGAGCGCAGAAGGTTCGGCCGTTCAATTTGCCGGTTCACTTGACACAATTCGACGCCTGACTCGGGGACAATCGCTCTCGAAGCCCCGTCGACCTCCTTATCTCCCGCCGAGGTAATCTTTCCTTCCCTCGGCGGCAATAACTCCAAGTGGGCAGGATTACCTGCGAAGGGGCTCCGTGAGCCAACCGCCTTAACAAAGGTTATCGATTTAAACAATGTACCCATCACCATCTATAGTTTTTGTTTTCATTTGCCTCGGGAGAGTTATATCTCTGGGATCTCTTATCCGCGCCTGTAATTAACGACCAACTTATTTACGATCCATAATCAAAATGGAAAGGGTTGAAACTTTTATATAATATTTAGATAGGGAATCCACACGATAGTAATTCATCTTTATTATTCATTATAATTTAAATCTTTATATCTTAGTTATATTTGTAGCTGGGACCTAAAGAGTTTAAGTTTAGCATAGCGCTATAAATATGCCCCAGTGCGAAACTAACCCGTCAAGCTGCACTATTCACAGAATAAATCATAAAATATATGTAGATGAAACGTTCGAGCACCATTTGCAAATTATTTCGTTGGCATGTAAATCTGCGCACGTAAATTCAGCCGCTGTCTGCGCACGGAAATTGAAACGTTCGAAAACCATACCAATATATTATAATATTTAACAATATATACCGGGATCATGTCCTCCCTGACTTTGGAAATATAATCTTCTAGCAGAATACATTCATTTTAATATACGTAATGTGATTAAAGTAGTGAATTTATTGCGCGAACAACATGCGGCGTTAAAGCTTTTGAAACTAGACACCCAAGTTATTTTAGTAAACTTTGACCTGGCGAGTTTAAATGAAATTTTCACTGAATTAAAGTTCAGCAGAGATTAAATCATGGAGTGGAATTATTATATAATTTAAGGATGAACTAACAACGAGCAAATAATATAAGTTATATGCGGAATGGGAACGTATTAAACGTTCGTATTGAGTGTGTCTATATGAAGAGAGGAGGCAACTTGTGCGAGGAGTGGAAGGCAGGGTAACGGGGATATTTCAATTTGGCCGAGGACGTGACCCGAGAGGCTGCGCGGTCGCTGCACGGCTCGCTGAACCGAAAGCCCGATGCGGCCTCCGCCAAAGAGCAAACAGCGCCTTCGCAATCTTGTGCCACGCGGACCGGACGGAGCACGGAACACTCGCGACAATCATTCAATACACCGCTTACGATACTAACCACTCCGCTATTCAATAATTCATTGAATACAGATTTAATATTGAAGCTGTGCTCACATGTTAGGGACAATACGGATTATGGAATTTTCAATATATAGAGAACAATCATTCGTATTTCGCAACGGAACTATGGGCGGTGAGCGTTATAAATTTGTACATTATATTATCGCTGTAGAATATTATGAAAATAAATACAAAATCGACAGGAAGCATACAACAATATTAAATTAAAATGTTCATAAGATAAAGTACTTCAATGTGAATGCTCCGCTCCCTTCCTTAACGGCGGCGCTCTTCAGAGAATTAGAAATTATTTATGAAGCTCTCACAAAAATCTTACCGCTACTTATTTTCGGCGAGCCCACGTATTAGTTAAGGTATACTCAGAAATTGAAAAGATTTATAAATTAAATTACGTCGGGAGGTGTTCGGTCTACATGTAACGATATACTCGACATTTGTCCTCTTTACCTTTCAGCGATGTTGGAAAAATATTTATAATTGACTTAATACCATTAAATGTAACGTTTCATATGTTTTCTGTTTTACTCAATGCATATAAAATGAAAATCAAATTTACTCGTGGTAAAGTTCAAACATTTCCAATTACCTTACAGTCAAAACTTAGAAGACTGACTATAAATCAAAGCGAATAACAATCCAATTAGTTTTTTTTGTGAATGCAATTACCTCGTAATTAGAAAGAGGCGGCTTAAAAAGGCTCTTTGAGCTTCGCAGATCGTGAACTTCAACTATTGACTCCTGTTAGTAGTTAATGAATATTATACAAAGACGTCGAGCAGTATAAATAAAATACTAAATTGACGATTACATTAAAATAGAATATAAAATTAATTATAAATAAATTTTAATTTATTATCATGTCTCGTAAAATGCTGTTATATATATAATGAGTATCTATATCATTGTTCATTTTCTTGAAAGCGACTGTACTCGGTAATAAATTCATCTTTATATATTTAATGTTAACATGGGGCTGTTATTATATTTTTGGCATGTTTTTAATCATTTCCATATATTTAATTATATACCTAAAGAATCTTATTTCTATTCAATTTAACATACTGATACTTTAGTATTTAATGTTAATTGCTATTAGAGATTGTATAAACAAGACCGGGATTCGATATTCCTCCCCGTTGCTTTATAATGGATTGCCACTAATTCTATTGATTCACATCAAACTGCACTCGTTCTCATTAGATTGAAATAAATACGGTTAGATTAGAATTGTATGTTGATTAAAAACATTTCGTTAAAATGTAAAATTAATCGTTATATTTAGTTCGATAAATATCATTGCTGTAAAATTAAATAACAAACATGGTAGATAAATAAAAATAAGTTTTAATTTATTACTATTAAAAATATTCAGTTTAAATAACAAAAGTGTAGGAAAATTTCGAACATATTTTCTATTGTAGCTATTTATAACCTAAGCAAACGACTAACTTACTGAAATGAAACAATTTCAGGTTTAAATTATGAATAGAAGACTTTGTTTTATAAAGAACTTGTATAGAACAAATTTTAATGATAATATTGTATATGTTTCTTATAATGTAATGGTAATGCATTGAATAACAAAATATTTTAACGCTAAACGTAAACACGAGCTCCTTCTATTGAAAGCCACTACTACAGCCAGCGACAGATGTTTTGGATGTTATTGCACGCGAGCTAAAAGCATAGAGCTACAAGTCAGGATCTGTCATGGCATATCTCGGTAACATAGCTAGTGTTTACTAAAATTATCTTGTTTCGTTGTCTTATACCTACTACCAAACTAAGACTTGAAGTATACTTAATAAATTTACATATATCGAAGACGGAAAAGAGTATAACTTTTTTAACAAATAGAAGGTTTTACCTTCGACGTATTTTAAGTGCTTTAATAAGTAGAACTGAATATATCTTGATGGATGTTTGAGGAACGCTAGTCGCTGTAAATCTCGTGTTTTGATAAGCGAAGGTGACAATAAAGAGGATCCTGCACCAGAACTATGGGGGTGAATAACAATGAATTTACGACCGGCTTTAATCCGGCAGGTGCGAGTGTTTCTGAATACTAGGAGACATTAATACTGGCCGTGCTCCACTGAATCAATACACATCAAATATGTTATTAGTGTCCAAATTGTAAATTACATTTAATAAAATTACCAATTATCATTAATCATATTGTTCATTATGTATGAAATGTACGATAACAGATTCTTATTACATATACAGTATGTGCGATAAAATTTATTTACATTCATATATCTTCTATATATATAAAAATGGATTGCTGTTCCTTAGTCTCACTAAAACTCGAGTACGGCTGAACGGATTTACCTTATCTTAGTCTTGAAATGTTCGTGGAGGTTCAGGGAAGGTTTGAAAGCAGAAAAAAATTGATTCATTTCTGGGTAAACCCTAAAAACAGCCCTTTTCTATTTCCCATACAAAGGTTTTCTTTGACATTAGATTTGACAACTAACTAATATGTCAATCATTCTGTTCGATTGAACAGGAAAAACCTGATTATTAATGGCCTCTAAAACAGAATAGAGTTCGCCCGGTCAGCTATACATATATTACTAATGACGAAACTAACGCGGACGAAGTCGCGGGCAAAAACTAGTATTTTATAAATGAGAAAATACGTGTATGTTAGAATTGATCGATGTTTTGTAATTCTTTCGCGCAATACTTATTGTAGCGAGAAAACTTTACACTTCAATACATCACACATCTTCATAATACAGACTGAAATTTATTAATGTTATCAGAAATAAATTTAATATCAGATGTTGTTAATTAATATTAATTGAAATTACATATAGCTCAATTATAATTGAATATTATCCATTGCAATATTAAGACAAAATATTTTAATACAAAATAACTAATAATATAAGAGTATATCACAAGTAATTCGAGATCTGTTTTTAGTCTATTTGTTATACATATGTGTACCATTTTCCTAATTTGGATTAATTTTAACGTATAACTAAGTATATTTTATGGTATTCATAATTTTTGCAATAAATATTATAATTTTCAGTGACTTTGTTTGTGAATGTATCCGAGATTTTTAATTATTTATTGTTTGTTTTTCTAAATAAAAAAAGATTGGAAACGTCGCTCGCCTTGCGGCCAGCCTCGTTATTCCATCTCTTATTTTCTTTCTTTAGGAGGTAACGAACTGTGTAATTGGGCCGGGGTGGGGAATTTGGCCACGCGCTGGGGACATTTCGGCCTAGGCTTGTGTTTTTTTTTTTAATTTCCCAATATAAGAGTTGTATTATAAACTTTAGGACAGCGTTCATTTAGTGTGACAAAGACAAATATTAGATTGGATTCGTTCTAACAGATGTTCGCATTGAACTATTGAACATCGAATATGTATGTTGTAAAAGTACAATAAATTGTATTGTAATATAAGCACAGTGTCGACGCCGCCAGCCTTGTGGCGCGGAGCGGGGCGCAGTACGAGGGGCGTAGAGTGGCAATTTTTCTCTTCGCTGACAACATGATGTAACGGCAATATCGCTAGCTGAGCGATTAAGCCGCGTACGCCGATATTTCAGACTTGTCCTACTAACTGTCAAAGCGTCGGAGAAGACTATACGTTATGTACTTCGTTATTGATAATAAATACATAACTCCATTGTTACATCCTCTTATCTAATGCTTTGATATTTATAGCCCAGAATGAATGATATGTATACTTAGTGATATCATAAATAATTACATATCGAATTAGGAAGGTTAACACAAACGTTGTTCATAAAACGTTTGTCTATTTTTATATATGAAATTCATTGCATGAACATGGAAAAAAATATTAAAACGAATGATTTGTATCTCGAAAATCTGCAGCATTTATAACAAGTGAGTTATAGAGAAATTACATTTGATTCAATGGTTAAAGCGTCGCTGATTTCGGAACGTAGCTTTAATATCTGTTGGAGGGTTGTCGAGTCAGATCACGGCGGAGAGCAATCACTCTATAATAAACGTGCAGCACATCGCTTCCTGCAGCACGAACATCCACCTATTTCTTACTACGCTGCTGCACATCCACACCTTCCCTTAACCATAAATTTAATACACGTTAAGCCGTGTTCAATGCAAAGCACGAACGCTCGCTAACTACTAACTATAACCTAGAAACTAATAAATTTAATGCTAAAAGCGCTTTGCAATTACTAGTAATTAACAAAGTCTTTATTTATCTGGCTGTTAGTGGATTTCAGTAAGTGTGCGCTTCTATTAATTAATTTAGATTTCTACCTATTCTGCTTAATATATTTTTTGTTTCTTATAACGCTTTTTAAAAATACTTAAAATTAAATTTATATATGCTCATCGTTACATACAACTTTTGTGTTACAATTAAAGTACTACTTTTCTGGAAAACTTAAATATTTGCATTTAAATAAATATATCTCTTACATCATGAAAGACATCCAACATAAAACCTTTAACATTCGTTCCAATATATACAAATCAAAATAATGATTTCATATGTAATGTTAGAGCTAATAATTTAATTGATACGTCTCACTTGAAGATTTCGTCCAATTTATGCGAAACCGATATGAATGACTCTTTACTTTTTCTGAGGGCGTATTCATAAATTACTAAGGGCTAGGACACGGTGGTATGGATGATAAACGACTCCGAGCCGGCGCCTCGGCGTCGACCGCTAGCCACGAAAAATACTACTGTCATCTTGACTGATAGTAAAATAATGCCTGAGTCATGTTCCATTCTGCATGCCAAGAGCTATTGTGAATCTCTTTGTGGCTTCACTCTTATTACTTAGGTTTTATAAAGGGCGATCGTTAGAGAAGAATACCACTTAAGTCAACCCACTACTAATATATGCAAAACATAATAACATAGTTTGAAGTGAGGAACTTTGAAATTATTTTATGACGTGGTACTTGTATGGCACAAACAATGTAACAAAAAATATAACGATGACTAAAATACGAAACCTTTAACAGGATAGAAATTGTTTGAATATAACAACATTATTTCAGTGAAAATTAATGT